CCCCCAGTGCTGGGATTAAAGGTGTGCGCCACCAACACCCAGTGTTTCATTTTGTTTTGTACATTCTCTGTGTGTTGTGTGGATGCACATACCCATGTGTGCATAAGCTGGAGGAAACTGGAGGGTGATGCTTGCTGTCACTCCTCAGGTGCTGCTACCCACATTTGTGGGTTTTTTTGTTTTGTTTTCTTTTGTTTTTGTTTTCTTAAAAAAAAACGGGGTCTCTTACTGGTCCCAAATTTGTTAAGTAGGCAAGTGAGATCCAGTGAGATCCAGGGACACAGCTATGGGGAATCTACCCTTGCTCTGCCACCCCAGTGCTAGGACTCCACGTGCATATGGTCGAATCTGACTTTTTACTTATCTATTATTTATTTATTTGCACGAATCCTGGGAACAACACAGGTCCCCGTGATTATGAGTCAAGTGCTTTACTGACAGAGCTGTCTCCCCACCCATCATGTTGAGTGTTTGATATTTGCATTGTAATTTGCAATAGTGGGTCAGGAAATTATCTTGAGGGTGAGACAGCAAGCAAATGTAAACACATACGAATACAGCTTTATTAATTGTAGACATGCAGATGCAGATGTGCCGGAGGCACTGATGCATTGTGGGAACATTAATTCAGATTTCCAACACGCAGGACTTGGCTTTTTCTCCTTACATGCCCTTTACCTTTTTAAAAATTTAGTTAAAATATAATCACATAATTATCCCCTTTCCTCTCCTCCTCCAACTCTTCCTATGTCCCCCTAGCCCCTCCCAAATAGATGGTCTCTTTTCCTGATTATTATTATGATTTTATTATAAAATTACTTATGATGATGATTATTGTTGTCACACACACACACACACACACATTTAAACACAAATATATAAATACAACCTCTGGATGGGTGTTATGGTGCAAGCCTTTAATCCCAGCACTCCAGAGGCAGAGGCAGAGGCAGGGGCAGGTGGATCTCTGTGAGTTTGAAACCAACCTGGTCTACAAGAGCAAGTTCCAGGACAGTCTCCAAAGCCACAGAGAAACCCTGTCTTGAAAAGCCAATAATAAATAAATAAAATAAATAAATAAATAAAACTTCTGGAGTGGAGCCCAGGACTGACCACTTTGTATTGGATAATCATTAGCGGGCTCATCCCTGGGGAACCTAACCCTCCCTTTCTCAACAGTTTTTATTTGCTTATAGTGTTAGACCCCCGAAAACTCAAGTATCCGGGGTCCCAGGCCACGTTCGCGGTCACCCCAATCACCAGGCGGATTCGAGAGCTTGCTGCAAACTGCACGAGGCTTTATTGTAATTTAACGAGCTAACCCCATGTTAGCTCGGGTCTTTCACCCACCCGCCATGGCGGACAGCTAGAAAAGACGGCTCCTAGGGGCCCCCAAAAGATCTTATAGGGCTGCGTAAGGGGAGTGTCTAGGGGTATGCACAGGCTCACGATTGGTGTGCTTGGAGAGCTTGGAGGGCTTGCCCTGTGTTGATTGGTCAACTGGTTGTTATGGCCCATAGGCCCTCCCAGGGTGGTTGCTATGCTCTCTACGTCATTGCTGTGTGCTTGTCCGTAAAGCACACCCAGAGGTAAAGCATAGCGCCACCAGCTAACTTCTGATTGGCTCCTTATCACGAGACAGGCATCTGACTTTCTAGTGACTAAGGTTCCTTGTCACGAGACAGGCGTCTGACCTCTAAGTGATCAAGGCAGGTTTATGGCAAGCACGTGTTTGGCTGTTATGGCTGCCGAAAGGGAAGCTGGTTCCTTCAATAGTCCCTTTACTAAGCATGGGACTCTCGAGTTTCCTCCCTTCCACACTAGTGTGTCTGTTGGTTTTGTCATTGCTCAGGTCTTGTTTAGGCAACCACGTTGTTGACATACCATGGTGTAGGTTCTCTGTCATCTCACAGGTTTCCTGGTCCTTTGGAGCTACAGTCTTCCTTCCCTGACTTTCCCAGAGTTCCCTGAGCCTTAAGTGCAGGAGTGTGTTCCACTGGGGCCGGGAACCCCAAGGTCAGTTCTCCTTCAACTCTGTAGCCCAGGCTGTCCTGAGAGATCTGCTGTCTCCACCTCCCCAGTGCTGGGATTAAAGGCATGTGCCACAACACCTGGTTTTCGAATTTTTTCATTAATTTATTTTTTAAAGATTTATTTATTATGTATACATTCTGTCTGCATGTATGCCTGCAGGTCAGAAGAGGGCACCAGATCTCATTACAGATGTTGTGAGCCACCATTGAACTCAGGACCTCTGATCAACCTCTCCAGCCCCTTCTGCCTCCCAAGTGCTGGGATTAAAGGTGTGCACCACCACTGGCCGGCTAACACCTGGTATTTAAAAATCACTTTTCAAGATGAATAAATTTAAGGTTTAGACAATGGGCAGTTTTGTATAAATACCAAAAGTATTGTTTTTTGTTTGACTTAATTTTTTTTTTCCGAGACAGGGCTTCTCTGTGTAACAGTCCTGGCTGTCCTGCAACTCACTCTGTAGACCAGACAGACTGGCCTGGAACTCACAGAGATCTGCCTGCTTCTGCCTCCTAAATGCTTGGGTCAAAGGTATGTGCCACAACTGCCTGGCTGCAATGGACTAATTGTGTTATCTTTTAGTTTTGAAAGGGCACACATATTAAATTATTGGGTTTCTCAGAGGCACTTGAGAAAGCTATCATACACCAGGAACTATTTTGCATGGTTGGTGCAGGAAACCCACTTTTGCACACCCTAACCTCTATCTTCCAGAGAGGTAGAACTTGTTATGAGATAAAGTCTTGCTGTGGTCGAGGCTAGTTTCAAACTCCCAAGCTCAAGGGATTCTCCAGCCTCAGTCTCTTCAACAGGTGCAGTGCAGATCACTGTGCCAGGCTAGACCAAAGGATTGTTTTTTGTATTTGAAGCCCTCTTTGATAACAACCATGGCTTGAGAGTCTTTGCTATAGTCCTTGGAATACAACCCAATCTGTTTCCCAGGGGAACCAGAACACATGAACAGACCACAAAGATTTATGGGGGAACTATATTCATGTGTGTGTGTGTGTCTGTGCGCGCGTGTGTACGCGTGAGCATATATGTGCACCATGTGTGTGCAGGAGCCCAAAGAGGTCAGAAGGCATCAGGTCCCCGGAACTGAAATTATGGGTAATTGTGAACTGCCATGTGGATTCTGGGAACCAAACACTGGTCCTCTGCAAAATCACATGTGCTCTTAACCGTGAGGTCAACTCTCCAGCCCTCCAGAGTCTATTTTCCCCTTGTGAAACTTGATCCTAATGGTCTCCTACACAGGAGGAAACCGCTTGATTGAACCATGGATCAAAACTCAGGCTTTCCTGCTCCTATACAGGGAAGGCAGCTCTGTTGAGTGCCTGCTTGGCAAGTGCATGAGAGCAGGTTCATCACCAGCACCACATAAAAACCAAGTGATTTGATGGATGAATGTAATTCCAGAACTGGAGGTGGATCAGAAGTTCAAAGTCATCAGCTCTTACATAGGAAGTTTGTTTGTTTGTTTGTTTTTTGGTTTTCCGAGACAGGGTTTCTCTGTGCAGCTTTGGAGCCAATCCTGGCACTCGCTTTGTATGCCACCAAGCCCAGCCTTAGATTTTGAGGTCTTATACGCTCAGACTATGCCAAGTTTGGCACACACACACAGCCTCCTTCTTCTGCTGTCTTCAGATCAAGATGTAGAACTCTCAGTGCCTTCTCCAGCACCATGTCTGCCTCGATGCCTCCATATTTCTCACCACCAGGAGAATGGACTAAACCTCTGAAATTAAGCGGGACCCAATTTCAGAGCTTTCCTTTATAAGAGTTGTCATGGTCGTGGGGTCTCTTCATAGAAATAGATCCCCTGAGATAAGGCATGTTCCATTGTGTGCAGTCAAAGTGTGATTGCGTGAATGTGAGCACATGCACACACACACACTTGTCCATAAATTAGATTTAGTATGCAAGAGCCAAGGACCATCAGAAATGAATTACTGGATAAGCCAAGAACATAAGCTAAAGATACAGACTCCAGGTATGAGGTGTGCTTTTACAGGTATCTGTAGACCCAGACAGGCACAACCTCTAGAAATGAACTGCCAAATATCATTGTTACCTACACACTACTTAGTACTTTTTACTGACTTGTGGACTCAGTGGGAGGCTGACTGAGAGACAAACACAAAGCAAGGTTACAGTAGATTGTTACAACCATGGTCCCAGGAAACCAATAAACCCAGTGTTCTCGTCCTGGTCTTGTCTCTTCCTCAAGGAATCCGGCCTTGGAGATGTGCCTTGCTTTGGCCAATGGGACATTAAGTTACTGAGTGTTTTGGAGCAGTTAGGGAATTAACTCCTTCAAAATCCCAAATGTATCATTGTTGCGTATGGGACATTATGAAAAATTTTTTAAAAGATGCATCAGTAGTTAAGTGCGACACAGGGTAAAAGGCAAAAGGGAAGAAAACATCACTCCCAGGATACTGAATTTTGTTTCTATTTCTGGGGTAACATGATAGTCTGCAGTCACCATAGAAGATATCACAGAAGACACGTAAATTTAGATCTGCCATGTTTATCACCTTTTACATTGTTACTTCAGGCCTGAACCATTTTCCTTATGACTTTATAAAAGACAACTCTGAGATGAGGAAAGGGCCAAGTATACCCAGAGGACATGAACAGTGTCTGCCTCCGCATCTCAACAGTCAGGACCACCTCTGTATGGACTCTGCTAAGAAGGTACACCGACATGTAAGAAATTCTGAAGCAAGCTGGGCGTTGGTGGCACACGACTTTAATCCCAGCAGTCTGGAGGGAGAGGCAGACAGATCTCTGTGAGTTCCATGCCAGCATGGTCTCCAGAGTGAGTGCCAGGATAGGCTCCAAAACTACACAGAGAAACCCTGTCTCGAAACCCCACCAAAAAGGAAATTAATTTCTGAAGCATGATATCCAAACACATCACTGTGTTGAGAATGCAAGGGTGGATGGGCAGAGAGCCAGAGACCAGGTGGTTTCTCAAGATGGCTGAGGACTGGAACCACGTTGACACCAAGCTATCCCAGCAGGTCACAGTAAGGAAGACCTGTTGTCACTCTTCACCCTGCCTCACCCCAATTAGGCTCCATGTCTTGTCACTCCCAATCTGTTGGGGGCCTGATAGTAAGTGGTGCAGCATTCTTCCGGCCAGCCGAGACCCCTGGGTAGAAGAGGGGCCAAAGTTTTTCAGTAAAAGTGTCAGTGAAGGTATAGATATGTGAGCGGTCCGTGACGTTGTAAAAAGACAATGTGCCGGCCTCATAGTCTAGGAATATGCCCACCCTCTTAGGTTTCACCTTGATGTGCAAAGGAGTGAAAGGTGTGGTGGTGGCTGCATACTTGTCCCCATTCCACAGCCGTATTCTCCAGTAGCCAGTCTCAGGGAGTGGAGTCAATTCGCCCTTTCTGCTCACAGAGTCCCGGCATACTCCCACTGCCCAGTGGGTCTTGTCTCCCACCTCCACCTCCCAGTAGTGTCGACCTGAGGTGAAGCCTTCAGTAGCCAAGACACAAGGGTAGAAAGTGAAACGCTGTGGTGTGTCAGGGAGGTCTCTGCGTCTTGTCTCCACAAACTTGACACTCTTCCGATCCTCTGACAGAACAAGGCAAGGATGAGCCGTCTCAGGGTCCAGGGTCACATCCGCTGGCGGGAGAAGCCAGAGTGGGGAGCTAGATGAGGACCAGAATAGCTAAACCCCCCTGCCTTGCTTTCCTAGCCTGCCTGTACAAAGCTTGGCCCATAAAAGGTCCCCAGAACACTGTAGGTTGGTTAAGTTTCTCAAATCATGCTGACTCTTGTTGTATTGAAAAAAAAGAGAAAAAAATGAAAGTCACTGTCTGAAGGAGGGAGGGAGGGCCAGAAAGAAGGCTTCAGATCAAGTGAACTGCAAGTGTGTGCTGGGGACAGGGTGAGCATGGTCTTGAATCCTGTAACAGTCCTGCTCTGTGACTGCTTTTCACTACATAAATGTTAATGATGTTTCCTTTGGTCACTCCCTTTGATTGATGCGTCAGGAACCCTTTAAAGTTTCTAGGTCCCTAGAGAGCAGATGACACCTAAGCGTTCTTACCTCAAGTCTATGATTTAAGGTGGGGCAGGGGGGGACTGGCATTAGAAAGAGGAAGAGGAAACCAACTCCAGGGCTCTGAACCTTCCACTCCTCTGCATGCCCTATGCCTGTTTCCTTTGGGGAACAACTCACCAATTAGCTGTTTGAGGATTTTCCTGAGGGCAAAGTACTGCCGGGGGAAATTACTGAAGTTCTTTTCCAGCTCTATAGATACTGTTGTCACCTCCATGGTCTTCACCTTGTCACATCTGGGAGGGATGGGAGATAAAGAAAGCAAGGACAGGGTCAGGGAGAGCCCCAGCCGAATAATCATGTGAGTGGTGTGGTGTGTTTTCTGGAGAAAAGTGGGACAAGGCCTCTCCCACAGTCTTTCTCCTTGAGGACAGCAGCCTCCTTTTTTTATTATCCCTGGAGAGCTACGAGGTGCTCTTGACAGGCCTGTCTCTTGAGAGTGAGCCTCAGAACTTCAATGGAATATTCCTACATCTCATGCAAAGGGACAGCCACCTCTCCACTGCTCGTACTCCTGTGCTCCCAACCCTTCCACCATCTTGTTTGCACACAGCCCCACCCACAGGCTTGGCAGAATCTGGCTCCTCATTATCACTGCTCTGACCAGAGGTGACCTGATGTCAAAAGGGAGGTGAAGTGTCATCACTCCTAATGGGTTTATCCTTCTTCACATCTCACTAAGACACTGTATGGATTTCCCTTTGTTACTTCCTCCAAGTCACTACTAACCCGTAGCTTCCAAACCAAGACCTAACTCAGACAGTCACTTACTTTTCCAGGGTACTTTTCACATCCTAGAGGAAAAGAGAAAACAAAGTAAGATTGGTCCTAGAATTCATGGGTCATGAAGGCAAACAGGTTCTCCCTCCTCCCCAACAGTGCTAGGTCTTTAAACTAGGCACCAGGCAAACTGAGGGCCCAGTGCAAGGGGCTTGCTTCAGAGGGACCTGAGTGTGTGTCTGTCTCTCATGGAATGCCCAATTCCAACTGCTGGTCATAACAAAGCTTGATAGTTAATAGCACTTCCAAATCATTTCCTGTACTTGTGCTTCTCTTCCTCAAAGACACTGGAGGCTCCCTGTAGGGGACAGAGGTTGTGTCTGCTCTTTTGTCCCCCAGATTCCAACCACACACCTCAGCATCACTGAGAAGCAGTGCAGACAATTCCAGACTGGTGGCACAGGATGCTTCCCACTGTGTTCTGGACATCCCTGCCTAGCACTGATAAACACCAGTTTATATCAACTCTGATTTAAGACTATTTGGGATCCAGATGACAAATACAACAAATCTCATCCCTGCAGAATTTCAAGTTTAATGCAGTAAGCAGAGCACACACAAATGAAAGCCAAAGGGATAAATACCATGGAACATATAATACACATGAGTGTGCATTGATACTTCAATTGAGGTAGTGGTCTTATCTGAAATGAGAAATATGCTTGCTACAGCCTTGTCATCATCACGTACCTGAAGATGGACTGTATCAAACGTTTCAGAGGTAGCAATGTACTACTTTACTACTTAAACATTCTGAGTATCCTTTAAGTTATGCTTCTATTTCCCCTGCTTTAGTACTAGGTAAATTAAGTTCTAGGACTGGAAAGTAAGGGTAACTGTATTTACAAACAAGGGAATGCACAGTTTCTCACTAAGTAGAAAGGACTTCTGTCTTCTGGAAAGGATGATTTTTTGGGGGGGGTAACAATTACATACATTAAAGAAGATTTATTTTATGTGTATGAGTATCTTGTTTGTTTGTATATACCTGCACCATGTGCAGGCAATGCCTGCAGAGGACTGAAGAGGGCACTAGAACCCCAGGAGCCTCAGTTAGAGTGTTGTAAGCTTCCATGTGGTGCTGAGAACTAAACCTGGGTCCCCTCCAAGAGAAGCAAGTGCTCTTAACCACTGAGCAATCTCACTGGCTCCAAGCATATAATTTCTGAAAATACATGAGGATATAAACAAATTTTGGAAGGGGTGGTGTACATGCCCTACTCTAGAAAAAGTTTATCTGCACACATATGAAGAGAAATCTGTGCTTAGGAGAGTAGAGTAAGACATGGTGCACCCCAGGCTGACAGGATGGACTGCACAAAGCTAGACTGCATCTGACCCAAGGAACTATACAGGAGCAAGGTTCGAACCTTAAGCATCTTGAAGCCTGGCAGTAAGGATCTGCACTCCACCTCAGCAACTAAGTAGGTCAGGTCCTGGCGCTTGGCCCCAAGGTGAGCAGCATTTTCTCGAAGCCTCTGTAGAATGTCCTGCTCTTCTTCTTCCAGTCTGGAAAGGAGAGTCTGCTGTTCCTCATCCAGCCTCCTGTGGAGCTCTTCAAACTCCTTTAGGATTTGCTGTCTGCGGCTCTCCACTAGTCTCTGAGAACAAGGGAGGATGCTGTCAGGACCAGGAGGCCTGAAGGAGCCTCTCCCAGACCCACCAGGCTCAGTACAGACTTCCTTGTCACATGGAAGACTTCAGCAGTATTCATGTTTCTCTCCCTGTGAGGCAAGTAGTCACCTGCACACCCCCCAAAGGATGACTTGATAGTTCAAATCAGTGGGAAGATTTAAAACAATCAATACTTGACTTTTTTAAACCTAAATTAACTTTTTATATTTTAAAGAATACATTTAAGATTAAAGAACTCAATGATGTGAAGATATCCACTGTTAGGGATATCAGAGATATTTTTGCTATTTTCTACTCTGATGTTTGGCTTATACAGTCTGTTAAAATACAAATACTAGAACCTGGGTGTTGGTGGCGCACGCCTTTAATCCCAGCACTCGGGAGGCAGAGGCAGGCAGATCTCCGTCAGTTCGAGACCAGCCTGGTCTCTAGAGTGAGTTCCAGGAGAGGCTCCAAAGCTACACAGAGAAACCCTGTCTCGAAAAAAAAAAAGGAAAAAAATACAAATATTAGAAAGCCAAAGATTTCCATCCCTAATAACCATGACACATTAATCTGATAAAAACTAGAGAACAAATAGCTACTACAACCAGGATCAGTTTAATGAGTTGATGCAAAGTATATATTTAGACTTCAGGGCTGAACTTGTTTTGCTTGCTGTTTCTATTTGTTTGTTTTGTTTTGTTTTGTTTTCCAAATAGGGTCTTGTAATATATAGCACAAGCTAGCTTTGAACTTGGAATCCTCCTGCCTTCCAGGCATGCACCCTCTAAACATGTTAAACATTTTAAGTCATTTCTGATGGGTTGAGAACTCCTGGGAAGAAGCTGTGTCTGTGAAGGCTAACTCATTAGATAGTGATGTGGAGACAGGTTGGACAGTTGCAGGCCTGAAACCTACTTACGTTTTGTCTTGGGCTATCTTTAGCCTTCTAAATAGCCTTTCTCATGCCTACCTCTGTGCTGGATTTAACATCCTGTGATAACAGATAAAACATGTATTAATTTAATAAATCTCTAATTTTTGCCAACCAAAGACTAAGTGTGACCAGATAGCATCTGAGGCCTATAGCTGGGATTACTCTACTTTGCTGTATACATTTCAGGTTTCCACCAATGTCCCTGAAAAGTGCCTTGCTCTATGCTTTCTTTGCTCTGTTCTATAAAGACTTCCTGAAAGCATTTCTAGGTTGAAGCATGGAAGCTGAGGTAAACTAAATCAGTGTTTCTAGGCCTTAGTCTGTCTTCGTTTGCCTACAGAATAAATTCTTATCCCCTGTGATGGGTGGTGAGAGTTGTTTTTTGTGTTGACAGAGAATAGGTATTTACCACTCCAGGACATATTCCAGATATTGTTTAGTAAATTAGATGCTTAAAATTTAAAACATGCACTCTGCCCTGTGCCTGAGAGCCTTCATCCAGTAGCTGTTGCAAGCAGAGGCAGACACCCACAGCTAAGCACTGAACCCTACTCCTGGAATCCAGTTGTGGAGGGGAGGGGGAATCAGCAAAGGAGCCAAGGCAGTGCTGGAGAAACCCAGAGAAACAATTGACATGACCTAATGAGAGCACGGAGATCCTAGTCATAAAGCTGGAGAAACAGCATTGGACTGAACCAAGCCCTCTGAATGTGGGTGCCAGCTAGGAGACCAAAACAATCTATGGGACCTCTAACAGTGGAGCTGGTTATCCCCAGAACACAAATAGACTTTGGGAGCCCACTTCTTATGGAGGGATATTATTACAGCCCAGATACAGCAAGGAGGGCCTGGGAAGGAGTTGGGAAATGGGATGGGTGAGTTGGTAGGGAACATGGGAGGATAAGAAAATGGGGGATGGCTATGTAAAAATGAGTAGTAATTAAAGAATTTAAATTTTAAAAGATCAAATAACACTTGAGTACAGGCAGATGCAGCCAGTGTGCTGTCAGCCTAACCCAAGGGGGAAAATTTTTTTTTGAAACATGCTCTTGATAGCAGCACATACTTTAAGGTCTGGCAAACATCCTTAAAGTTGAAGAATACAGGATTCAGACAGCAGTCACCCCATTCTCTGAGGGTCATCAGCACACCCTCCTCCCTCTGTGCCTTCCTGTAAAGTGACCATCCCCAGGGAAGGGGTCTAAGGACCTTGTGACTGACAGGGAGGCACCACTCAAAAGACAAGGAGAGATGGGACTCTGAAACAAGAGGGCAGGGACAGAGAGTCAGTGCCAGGCTGAAGAATGGCTGGGATTAAACAAGAGCCATGAGCCTCACAAGCTTGGCAGTCCTGATCTGAAGCTACTTCTACTGCCACAGACAACAGATGGGCTTTCATTGCAGGGCTCCTTGCTGCTTTCTCAGGCAGGCAGTGGAACAGGATGCATTCTCACCTTTGTCCTGAACATGGATTTGCAATGGGGTGGTTTTAGAAGCAGGTGTGCTTGATTGTACTTATGAGATTTTCTTTTAGGGGCCTGAGACTTGCCTTGGTGGTTAAGAATGCTTGCTTCTCCCTGGGAGTTGGTGGCACAGGCCTTTAATCCCAGTACTCCTGAGGCAGAGGCAGAGGCAGGTTTATCTCTGTGAGTTCAAGGCCAGCCTGGTCTACAGAGGGAGTGCCAGGACAGGCTCCAAAGCCACAGAGAAAACCTGTCTCTGTCTAGAAAAACCAAAAAGAAAAAAGAAAAAAAGAAAAGTATGCCTACTTCTCTTCTCTTCCAGGGGACTTGAGCTTGGTTCCCAGCACACACACTGGGTAGATGGAAAATGCCTGTAACTCTAGATCCTAGGGATCTGATTTGTTCTCTTCTGGTCTCTGAGGGTGTGTACATGGGCAGGCATGCACACATACATATATATACACATACACATACACATACACAAAAACAAACCACAAAAAGAGAACACTGTATTTTGATTTTCTTACACTTCACCACCAAGTTGCTTGGGAGTCTGATGACATCCCCCTCAGGTTGAACTCACATTTGTTTCACCTGATAATGTCACACACCGGTGCAAGCCTATGACCATGCTACAGTGCCTTTTTACATATCAGACTGTATTAGAAAGTACTTCTAGCTGGGAGGTGTGTGAATGCCTTTAATTTCCATATTCAGAAGGCAGAGGCAGACAGAGCTCTATGAGTTCAAGGCCAAGTCTGGCCAAAATAGCATTCTAGGCCAGCCAAAAATGCATAGTAAAGCTCTATCACACATTAAAGATTTCTCTGTGTAGCTTTGTACACCAGGCTGGACTTTTGTAGGAACTCACAGAGATCAGCCTGCCTTTGCTTCTCGAGTGCTGGGTCAAAGGCGTGAGCCACTACCGCCTGTCTTGTTGGTAGGTTTATCTTATCTGAATTTCCCAGGCTGGCCTGTTCTGGCTCTGAACTTGTGAAGTGAACTTGTAATATTTCTTCTCCAGCCTCCTCTGTGATAACCACACCCTCTTCATAAGCTTGTATTTTCTGCCTGTTGTGGTGGTGAACTGATGCCTTTCCCTCAACCCTTACACAATTTTTAAATTTTAATTTTTTTTAAACAGGGTTTTACTGTACAGCCCTGGATGTTCTCACTTGCAACCCTCTCCTGTCTTAGTCTCCTGACTTAGTCTCCTGAGTGCGAGGATTATATGTATGTTTTATTTCCTCAAACTTTTGTAATTAAAATTTTTCAATTTACTTTTATTTCATGTGCATCGGTGCTTTGCCTTCATGTAGGGCTGTGTGAGGATGTAGGATCCTCTGGAACTGGAGTTACAGATAGTTCTGATCTGCCATGTGGGTGCTGGGAATTGAACCTGGGACCTCTAGAAGAGCAGCAGTATTCCTAACAGCTGAGACATCTCTCCATGTGCATACAAACTATTTTAAAGGAGTTATTGAGTCCAATAACTTTTATAATTAAATTTATAATTAAAGACAGCAGTTACATTTCGGTTCAAATATTACCATGGCTTCAGGAGAAATGCCTTGCATAGGCTCATGCATTTGAGCACTCGGTCCCTCTTAGGAGCTTTGCAGAGGTTAAAGAACCTTTTGGAGGTGGAGCTTTGCTGCAGGAAGTACGTCACAGGGACAGGCTTTGAGAGTTTACTGATTTACCCTTCTTCCTGTTTGCTCCACTTCCTGTGCTTGTATCAAAATCTGATTTGGCAGGGCGGTAGTGATACTCGCCTTTCATCTCACTACTCAGGAGGCAGAGGCAGGCAGCTCTCTGTGAGTTCAAGGCCAGCCGGATCTAAAGAGAGAGGGCCAGGATAGGCTCCAAAGCCACAGAGAAACCCTGCCTCAGGAAAAAAAAAAACAACTGATGTGGCAGCTTCCTGTTCCTACTGCTATATACACTGCCTTCCTGACATTGCAGACTTTCCTTCTGGAACTGCAAGCTAAAATAAAACTTTTAATCCTAAAGTTACTCTGGGTCAAGGCATTTTACAAAGACCTGCACTCCACAGGTGAAGGCTGAATGAGCCAACATTGCCTTATGTTACTTAAGGATTCAGTTCTAAGTCAAATGTTACGGTGCACGCCTTTATTCCCAGCACCTGGGAAAGAAAGGCAGGTGGACCTTTTTGAGTTTGAAGCCAACTATGTCTACATAATGAGTTCCAGGCCAGCCAAGGCTATATAGTAAGACTCTGTCAAAGAAACAAACAAACTGGTTCTGTTGGGCTGGAAGGTTTAAGAGCACTAGCTGTTTGTTCTTCTAAGGACCTGAGCTCAATTCCTACCTGCAACCAGCCATTGGTAACTCAAGTTCTGGGGGATCTGACACCCTCTTTTGGCCTCTTTTGGGCATCAGGCAGGCAGGTGGTGCAAAGACACACATAAGCAAAACACCCATACACATAAAATAAAACAGAATAATTAAAAACAAACAAACAAAAAGGTCACTACATAGCTCTGGGAGCTCTGTCTCAGCCCCTCCCTCTTTCCCTGTGACCTTTCCAAATTCTCTTTCCCCATGCAGCATTCACCCCCCCCCACCCCCACCCCCCACCCCCACAACAAAAAAGTATTTACTATTGTGTGTGTAGTGTGCGTATACACACAGTGAGTGTGTGAGCATGGGGGTCACAGTGCATGGATGGAACTCAGATGTCTACTCTGAAGATTCATTTTTACATTTCTACCTTCATGTGGGCTTCAAGTCTTGATTCTGGGACAGCAAACATTTGTATGCACTGAGCCGTCTCGTCAACACCTTCATTTCTTCTATCCTCCTCCTCAGTACTTAGGTGATAAAGCTAATGAAATATCACTTCTAGAGAACAGCAGTTTCCAGTTAAATCAAGTAAAGTGCTGTTGATTGGCTCATAGGCAAATATCCAGCCAAGCAGTGAAGGCAACAGATTGCCTGCTCTACCTTGAGCTCCCCTGGTTTCTTTTCTTCAGAGGCTTTGCAGCGGCTGATATCCCGAAGCTTCTGGTTCAGGAGCTCAAGGCACTTCTGCAGTTTCTCCTGAGGGTTGGGAGAAAGTAGGAGAGGAGACATTTGGAGTTAGAGGATACTCAAGAGCTTAGCCCATTTATCATCTCTTTTGTTTTCAGTCATGTGAATGTGCAAATGTCTGTCTGAGTGTATGTGCGTACCTGTATGCTGGTGCCCACGGAGGCCTGCAGAGTGCATCAATCAATCAGATCCCCTGAGACTGAAGTTATAGGCATCAGTGAACTGTCAGCCTGGTACATGCTCTTAACTGCTAAGTCATCCCTATACTCATTGACTATTCTTCCCTTGAAGCACTTGGGATCAAATGCAGGGCCTCAAGCAGGCTGGCAAATGCTCTACCTCTAAGGCACATTCCCCACTCCTAAATCATTTAATTTCTATCCTCTCATCACTTCATGATCTAACCCTCTTCCTTGCCTACAACTGGACCTTTCATAGATGTCTTTTTCCCTGCCATGTCTGTGGCACACCTGACTCTCCTCCCTGAATCCAGTAGGCTAGCTGTCATCACTTGTTTCCTTTCCCACTCTATTTTCTTATGGACAACTGCCCATCACACCACTCCTAGTTATGTTTGTTTTGTTTTGTTTGTTCTGGTGGTGCTGAGACTCCATGCAGCGTGAGTGCACTAAGAACACAGTCTGTTACCAGGTCACACCTTCCATCAGCTAGAAGTTACCTTTTATATCTCTGTCTATCTATCTGTCTGTCTGTCTGTCTGTCTGTCTGTCTATCCTATCACTGTAAAGTTTCCATCAGCCAGGTCACACCCTCTCTTAGCTAGAAGTTACCTCTTGCACCTCAATCTCTTTATTTATTTATTTATTTATTTATTTATTTATTCATTCTTTCATTCATTCATTCATTCATTCATGGTGAGGTCTCCAGAAGCCTGGCCAGCTTCAAACTTGTGGCCATGGATGACCTTCAACTCTCCTTCCTCCTGCCTCCACCCTCTGAATATTGGGATTATAAATGTATATCACCATGCTGGTCTTGATATTCTTTTTTAACCTGTGCTTCCATTCAGATCTAACCATTTATCAACAAAACAAAACTCGACTATAAATTACCTGAAATATTTTTCAAAATTTTGTTAATTAAGCAGAATGAGTGGAAACTTGACTGTTAGCATCTATTTTTGTTATTATTACTAAAACATTTACCCCATGTTCTCTCTAGTAATTTAAATGTTAAATGTCAAATTACGCATCTTTTGAAGAACATGCAGACTGGTTCTGCTTAGTCTGATGGATATTAGTCTAAAGTGACGTTAGCTATTCCCCCCAAAAAAATGAGAAAAAAGAAAAGAAACAGCCTGAGTAAATAGGCATAAATAAAGAAATCAATACAGTTTCAGTTCTTCCAAAATATTTTTCAGACTCTTTTGCTGTTCACCCATTCGTTTAAAATCTGACAGATTCCAGAACCATACCCAACAGAACTCTGAAGACTTAATTTTATTGCAGTAGGTCAGACAAATCTGTGGGCACTCCCCAGTGCTCCTGTTGAGGGGGAGGGACTAGATGTCCTGAATACCCATGTACATAGTTCTGAGGGGAATGGAGAGGAACAGAGATAGCCTTACCTCAGGAGCTTAAATCCCTCTAACTCAGAGAGTATGTATGCTCTTTCCTGCACAGGCCTCTCCAGTCTGGACACCCACCCACCTTGCACTCTTTTGTAACATCATCCAGTTGCAGAACAGTGTGAGCTTGCTGGGTATGATATATTGCACATGTCGGACAGACAGCCTCCTGGTCTTCGTAGCAGAGGAGGCTCATTGCCTCCTGGTGTTCAAAACAAAGGTTTTCTTCTCTGGTTTTCTGTCTGACGCGCTTGAGATATTTGGCGATTTCCACCATACTTCCCAGTTGTCTATTAGGCCAGAGATTCTGGTATTGGGATGTCTTTCGGCAGACCGGGCAAGGGAAGTCCTGCTCTAGGTCCTCCCAACAGCGGGTGATGCAGACTTTGCAGAAGTTATGCCCGCATTCAAGGATAACCGGCTCCTTCAGATATTCCAGGCACACGGAGCAGTTTGCCTCCACTTGCAGATTCTCCAGGGCAGCAGCGGTGGAGGCTGCCAGGGCTTCAAACTCTAACATACTCCTCTTCTCTGCCATTATTTAACTTAGAGATGGGGAGAGAGAAAAAAAATATTAGTTGGAGGGTTACATTTCTTCTTGCACTCCTATCCTGACATTAGCTCCCATAAAGCCCCATCTTGGTATCTTCCCACCTCTTCCAATAGACTCACCTGTTGCTCTGTTTACAGCATTTGCGATTTGTAGCTAATATACACTTGCCTTTTCTGATTCAGCAAACAAAAGCAGTCCCTAGTTACCTTTTTGGTTTTTTGAGACAGAGTTTCTCTGTGGCTTGGAGGCGGTTCAGGAACTTGCTCTGTAGACCAAACTAGTCTGGAACTCTCAGAGATCTGCCTCCCTCTGCCTAACAAGTGCTGGGATTAAAGGCGAGGCCCACCACTGCCCAGCCCTAAGTGATCTTTTTCACCTGTGTTGTCATTACAAACAGAAGCTTCCTTTAACTATAATAGATGAAAAAAGAGCCTGATGTTGTGGCACAAACCAAGAAGCCCTGCATTTCTGAGGTCAAGGCAAAACTTCAAGGCCAACCTGGGTTCCCAGTCAGGTGAGAGTATTCAGATCTCTAAAGGGTGGGAAGGAAGCCTAGGAAGTGAGCTTTGTCACATAAGCCAAAGTACTCTAGCTGGTAGTGGTAACTGACTGTGAGGCAGGAGGATCAGATCAATACAAGCAAGAGGCTAGCCTGGTCTGTAAAGTAAGATCTTGTTTGAAAATTATTTTAAAATAAGATAGTTTTCAAGGTGTTTTGTTTGTTTGCTCTTTCTTTCTTTCTTTTTTTCTTTTTCAATGCAGCTTTGGCTGGCAGTACTAGACCTCATTATTATGGATTTTTGTTTTTTTGTTTTTAACCATTTTATTTATTTAATATGCATACAACATTCTGCTGTCATGTATATCTGCACACCAGAAGAGGGCACCAGATCTCATAACGGATGGTTGTGAGCCAACATGTGGTTGCTGGGTATTGAACTCAGGATCTCTGGAAGAGCAGCCAGTGCTCTTAATCTCTGAGCCATCTCTCCAGCGCGGATTTTTGTTTTTAAAAGAACTTCATACATCTACATTAAAAAAAAGAAACAAAACTGTTTTTTACTGGGCGGTGGTGGCACATGCCTTGGATCCCAGCACTCTGGAGGCAGAGGCAGGCAAATTCTGTGAGTTCAAGGCTGGCCTGGTCCCTGGTCTACAAAGCTACACAGAGAAACCTTATCTCAGAAAAGCCAAAAACCAAAAAAAAGAGAAAAAGACCTGTTTCTTATAGTGTAACACATAGAAGTTTTAGAATTTTTTTTAAAACTAGAGTTTAACCTTGATTGTCTGCTACTCCTTTTTCAAAGGGTAACACACTGAATGAGTTACACTACAGTAACAAATTCCATACAGGGAAATGTGAAATTGTTGTGCCCAGATTGCTGAACCCCAAAAGAACCCACCAACAAGGAGACAACTCCTCGAAGCAAAGACAAAGGTTTGTTTATTGACTCGAGGATACCAGCTGCAGCAAGGACCCCATTGTTTTAAGAACAAATGGAGTACCCACTTTCAACTGAGGGCTGTTTTTATAAGGGAAAATTGTAGGGCTGGCAGCCTCAAGATTACAAAACTTCCCTGGTTACACAGGATGGAACAATGAATATATGCTTAGCAGGATGCTGCAGAGGAAATGAATTTGTTAATTATCTCCTGAGCTGAGGGCTTCTATAATTTATAACTGCTGATCCTCTTTGGACTAGAGGAATGTCTACACAGCTCAAGGGTATGCTATCTGGTCTAAGATCAAGTGTCAGGTAACTTTTGTTTAACCTTGTCTGTTGGGCTGCCTTTTAGGAACTCGGAGAAGTTTAAGAGTTTTTCTATTTGGGCTTTGGAATCCAGGTTTTAGACTTTTATTAATGTTCTCATTCAAAATCATTCCTCCTTTCCCTGGACAAGCCAAAAGGAAGAATGCCTAGATGTGTCTCTCAGGCATTGATTTTTTTATCAGTTTGCCGCTGGAATGGTTGCAAAGCAACACATATTTCAACTCTAGGAGAACATGATTGAGCAGAGGGTGATACCTTTTTAAAGAGAGCTGGCAAGTTCCAGCCACCCCATGCCACCAACAAACACCCCTGACTACTGTGAAATGCTCCTGGTTGTCCTGGAACTCCGTCTGCAGACTAGGCTGATCTTGAACTCACAGAGATCAGCCTGCCTCTGCCCCCACCCCCCAATTGTTGGGATTAAAGGCTTGCCCCACTACACGCTTTGAGTTTAGAATTTCAAAGTTGATACAGATAAATTATTCCTTGGTTATTCCGTGGATTGACTAGGAATTAAAAGAAGGAAATTTGGGCTGGAGAAAATGGCTCAGTGGTTCCAAACATTGGCTGTCCTTCCAGAGGACCAGGGTTCAATTCTCACCACCCACATGGCAGCTCACAACTGTCTGTTATTCCAATTCCAAAGGATCTGATATCCTTATACAGACATATATGCAGGCAAAACACCAATCAATGCTCATAAAATAAAAATAAATGGGGTTGGAGACATGGCTTAGTGGTTAAGAGCACTGGCTGATCTTCTAGAGGTCCTGAGTTCAATTGCCAGCAACCACATGATAGCTCACAATCATCTATAATGAGATCCAGTGCCCTCTACCAGCCTGCAGGCAGAATACTGTACACATGTTAAATACATCTTCAGAAAAAAAAAAAAACAAAAATGAAATTTTCCATGTATGACTGCACATGCTTGGAGCATCAGTAGTCAAGGCTGGATTAAGTATGACCACCATGTCAACTGAAAAGAGGCAAGCAAGGCAGGTGTTGGTGGAGCATCCCTTTAATTCCAGCACTAGGGAGGCAGAGGCAGGCAGATCTCTGTGAGTTTGAGGCCAGCCTGGTCTACAGAGCGAGTGCCAGGATAGGCTCCAAAGCTACACATAGAAACACTGTCTGGAAAAACCAAAAAAAAAAAAAAAAAAAAAAAAAAAAAAAAAAAAACGACCACAAAAACCCACAGTAGGTAAGTGTGACACAGGGTTAAAGGCAAATGGGAAGAAAACTTCACTCCTAGGATAGTGAATTTTGTGTCTATTTTCTGGGGGTAACATGATAAGTCTGCAGCCAACATAGAAGATATCACAGAAGACATCTAAATTGACTTGTGGGGCACAGGTAAACAGACCTGCCATGTTTAGCACCTTTTACATTGGTAGTTTAGGCCTGAACCCTTTTCCTTTTGACTTTATAGAAGACAACTCTGAGATGAGGAAAGGGTCAAGATTCAGTATGCCCAGAGGACATGAACAGTGTCTGCCTCTCCATCTCAACAATCAAGACCACCTCAATATGGAATCAGTTAAGAAGGTACATGAGTGGGGTTAGAGAGATGGCTCAGAGGTTAAGAGCACTGGCTGCTCTTCCAGAGGTCCTGAGTTCAATTCCCACCAAAACAAGGTGGCTCACAACCATCTGTAATGAGATCTGGTGCCCTCTTCTGGCATGCAGGCATACATGCAGACAGAACACTGTATGTATAATAAATCTTTAAAATTAAAAAAAAAAAAAGGTACATGAGCTTGTTTTGTGCCGAAGTCACAAGAATGCCCAAAGAGACCAGGGAGACAGAACACTGATCCAAATAGGGGAGGTTTATTGATTGTTCTATTCCACCATGAGGGATCCGGTTTAGCAAAGTGACAGAACAGCCTCCAGAGTAAAGTTCACTGTCTACTGCTAGATTATAAAGACAAAAGTTACAGGATTACATCAGTAGGTACGGGCTGGATTCTGATTGGTTGACTTTTGGGAACAATCAGGAGAATTTCTCAATGTCATTTTGGCATGAAACACCTGTGCAACAATTATTTTCCTTGGTCAGTGCTGAGAGGAAACATTCTGTGGTTTCTATGGCTTTGTGTTGTTACTTGAGGTGGACTGTTGTTCATAGATACCAATAATTTTCAAAAATGAATCCTGGATACTACAATGGAGGTTTTGTTTTCTTCCTGAGTTTCTTTTGTGGTCAAACAGTTTCCAGGAACCAAGTATCTAGGAGGCTGGAGTGAGGGGTCTGCAGTCTTTGTGTTCAGTCTTGGCACTAGGGTGAGGGAGGCCAGAGGATCTGGAGTTTCCTTGTGTCAGAGTCCTATAGGTCTTATGTGTAGCCTGTCATGGCTGCTAAAGCATGGGATCAGTGAGGGTCTTGTCCCTTTATTTCTAGAAGTGAAGCCTTTAGGTTTAGTTTACCCCTTTCAGTAAGAAATGCTGATTCTAGATTTCCAAGCACATCATTGTATGGGGGATGTAAGGTAGAAGGGGCACCAGAGCCTTAAGACAAGGGCTGCTCACTGGGACAGAGTGGTGTATGGAAAATGGGAATTCCCTGAATGGTGGATGCAGAGATGTAAGGAGAGGTTACCGTGATGTCCGCTCCCCCAACACCACCACCACCAAAAAAAAAAAAAAAAAAAAAAGAAAAAAAATAA